TGGAGGTACTTGCTACTTTTTGAAGTTGTTAAACGAAATGAACTGTTCACTAACTTGTATCGACTCGTTTGATTATCAAGACAAGTACGACTAAACTCGTCAGAACTCCAACTCGTCTGGTTAACGAACTGAACACAGAGATTTAATCTAACATTATAGCCATAAATAATCTCAATGTGAATGGATAATGACCTTTCAAGACTTTGACCTTGACCATTTGTCCCACCTTGCCTATTTAAATCCAACGGCCAATCCACCTTTTCTTGCTACACTTGCCCAAAAGCCCTTATTACAATTGCACATCTCTTTTCTTGTTTTCTCTTATAAGCCACTGAAAAATCCGCCGTTAGAAATGTCTATGCGCAATAACCGCCACCAGCGGCGGCCGTCGCAGGGCTTCTTCGTCTTGCCGGAGAATCTCTCCGACCCACTCTCCGATGAAATTGCTCCGCCGCGCGCGGCCGCTCAGCCCCCTCCACTGCCGCACAAGAAGAGAGGCGCCGGATTCGCCAACCTGCCGCCGCAGCCGCCGTCCAAGGCGGCGCCGGAGGAAGCGCCGACGTACGATCCTTCAAGAAAATAACAAGTTATTACGTTGACGGCTGCAAGTTATATGAAATCAATTTTTGGGATGTCTTGACGTTAATTTTATTTAGTGGATAAAGAAAATTACAATTATTGTAATATTATATGTGGAATGTTTTTTTTTTCTTTTTTTTTTCCTGGTCTCAACAGTTGTAATGAATATCTTTCCTTTGATATTTATTTATTGAAATACATATATATACGGCTTCTAAATTCTAACGTTAAGTAGTCCATGAAATCAACATCTATTAAATTTAAAATACTGATAGGGATATTAATACAATTGGCCAAACATAGACCCGTAGGACCAAGACCATATGGGCCTAAGGGCCGGTCCAAGTGGAATGGGCCAGGAAGGGCCGACCAGCCAGAATGGCCGAGCAGGACTTGTGACCGAGTGGAGGTCGACCGGAGTAGGTGGTCGAACACCATCCTAGTCGACCACATGGTGAAGTGGGTCGATGGTCGACTCACACGTGTAGACGTCGACCGGTTAGCATTCGGTCGACGAGAATCCAAGGACCTATGGCTCCAGGAGGGGGTCCGTACAATTAAACGCTATATATATGATAAATTCCACTAGGAGAAGGTAAGACATCATTTATTACAATTACTGTTACATTCAATACACATTACAATTCTCTTGTTCCAAAATATTGACTTGGGCGTCGGAGGGTCTTACGCCGGAGCAATTCCGGCGTATTTGCAGGTACCGGCGATCACTCAAGCTTGGACCGGACCGAATTAAACGCATTTACGCCATAACCGTGAAGAACCCTTCGGAGGACCGGAGTCACTTGGACCATATCAAATACTATATGTTATGTAAAAATATTATGGGAAAATAATACTTATATTTGTGGTAATACCACTGAATGATTGCTGGAATAGGGAATGGAAAAAGTAAAGTTGATCTTATTATACAACATAATGAAATGATAAACCTCTCTTTTTATTTTTTATCCACCAACGATATTTCATTTTTTTTCTCACCAATTTATTCACATCAATATTAAATTAAAAATCAATCATGGTTACATATTTATATTTTATTTTTTTACTATTAATACACTTACATATTTATGCCTATGATTATTTATTAATTTTATATTGTACCACAATCAATTATTACTCTTTATATCACTTCATTTCATATATATTATAAAAAAATGTCTCCCATTTCAACCTTTTGTTTTGTCTTCAAAATCTTGCAAAAAGGACTAAAAGAAAATTGCAAATGGAAAAAGCTTGACAATTGGCAAAAGCTTGACAATCTTGCAAAAAATATCAAAATCAATCATGGTTACATATATAATATATTATTTTTTGCTATTAATACACTTACATGTTTATGCCTAACAATTATTATTTATTATTTTTATATTGTACCACAATTAATTATTACTCAATTATTATTTATTATTTTTATATTTTACCACAATTAATTATTACTCTTCGTATCACTTTATTTCGTATTATAAAAAAATATTGACTTTCCACCTTTTGTCTTCAAACTTTTTTTTTTTTTCTCAATGGAAAGCTCATATACTGAAATTACTTGATTTTCAACTAAAACTTGCCAATAAAACTAAACCTAACGATTATATCATCGTATTTTTTTTTTTCAATTATAACATTCACTAAAGAATAAAATTATAACATTCACTAGTCTATAACAATATAAATAAAATTATACCACTGGTCTATAACATTCACTAAACCTAACGATTTACCATCCTTTAAATAACAATATAAATAAAATTATAACATTCACTAGTCTATAAATAATTATTAAATTTAAAGATAATTACCTATTTTTTGTCCATCACTTTGCATGTTTATATTGTGAACAAACTAAAGAATAAAATTGGTATTTTTATCAATTGAATGTGCATTTTGTGTTATAAATAAGAAAAATTATTTATGTTAATATTAATTGAAACTGATGTTTTGCATTTCGGTATACTTCGAAAAAACCCAAAAAGACAATAGTTTTGTGAATATGTAAGTTAAATTAGGTTAATATAATTCGAGTGATGTTTTATTTCTAGTGGTAACAATAATAAAATAACATTATTAATCTATAATAGAT